GGACCTGGGTTGGGAGAGTTGTGGGATCTCACTACAATGCCAGCGTAAGAACTCTTCTACAGCATTGCTCCTCACTTCACCGCCTGCTCACATGCTGCATCTGTACACCATGCTCCACTATGCAGTCCCCCAAAGAGCCCTGAAACAACTAATGAGCAGCCTCCTAAATGTCCTCTGCTGAAAACATGTTTATAAATCTTAATGAAATGATGCATTGTTTTGTTCTTTCTAGTCATGTGTTATTTTGGGGGTATTATTTTTTTTGCTAGAACTAATAGTTGAACATGCACAATGGAAAATGAGAGAGGCTACTTCTTGTGTAACTCTGAATAGTTTCACAAGCTAAAAATTCACTGGAATTTAATCATTTAAAAACAGTTTGCCACCCACTTGTATCTTAAGTCTAAACAGAATAGCATGCCGCATATCCGCTGTGCTACAATTGGTCTCTCTCTCTCTCTCAACTGTTTTGTGTTTTGAGGCACTGGGCCAATGTAAAATCTGACTGAGCTTTTTTATATAAACCCAGTTTTCAGTGAAATATTGTTCCCATTAATAGTGCTATTGTGGTTGGGGTGTGTGTGCATATATATAATTTTGGGTTTAAAATTATAGGAGATTTGGGTCTTCCTGAATATGTATCAACTTTTTTTCCTCTCCTTTTCAACATACTTAGCCAAAATCATATTTACACAATTGTCTGCTTGTCCCAACTGCTGGTCTACCAACATTATTGTTACTTTCTGCTCCAGTGACTGTAATCCCCGGACAATTCAGATGCCAATCAGAGAAGGAAGGTAACATGTGGGCAAATCTTGCAACATGCTACAAAGATGTCATTTAACATCCTTTGTTAAGTAAGTGATGAGAATGCACCATGCTCCAGGCTGATGGCTGTTTGGTATACAAAATGGATTAAAGCTGGAACAAGGCCAGAGAAGTCAAATTTAAGCCCACAGTCTGAAGATTGGGGAGGGGAGGGGCTCATAGCAGGTGACATGGTTGACAAATCTTAGTGTTAGGACTCTTTTAAAGCATCAAAAAGGGTGGGGGGAGGCAATAGCAAAATACTTGCTTTTTCAAGCAGTGAGGCCCCAAACACTTCATCTATAATTAATTTATTTGATGAAGTGAGCTTCAGCCCACAAAAGCTTGTGCTGTCTCTATACAGGCAATCCCTGCTTAGCGCTCTTAATTGGTTCCTGAAAAACGGAGCGTTAAGAGAAACCGAAAGTATTTGACAACCCAAGATGGCAACTGCAGGTGTTTTTAATGACCCAAGATGGCAACTGCAAGCATTATAACAAAACTCGCTAAGCGATAAGTGAAATCAGGTATTGATTTAAAATGAGCATTGTAGTGAAATAGCGCCAACTGAAACAGCATTAAGCGGGGGTTGCCTGTATATCTTATTTAGTCAGTCTATAAAGGTGCATATCTACCTTGCCTTCTAATGTATTAGGATCCATGGAGGATCCGAAACTTAACATGGCTTTTTAGTTATTAAAATCAATAATGAGAGAACACTGTTAATCTTCCTTTCCCCCTTCTCTTCCCACCTTTTTTTTTAATGCCATTTTCAAAGATAAGGCTTCTTTTAGGTACCAACTAATCTGAAGCAAGTGTTGTTTATATCCATCCTCTAGCATGCGAGTAAGCAGACAAGGCTAGTAGGTGAACCACTGAAGACAGATGCTACCAACCTTGTTAAACATGCTACTGGAAAGCAGTCATACTGCACTGATGAGGCTGATGCAGGAAATGGCACAGAACAGAATCTTCTTTAGGTAGTTCTCTTGCACTGAGAAGATGGTGAGGTGACAGAGGTGGAATTTTTGATGTTATAAACCAAGGGGAAACTCCTTTCAGGCCTTTGTATGCAAAAACAAAATAAAATGACATTGTCTTTTTCTTTAAGGGGTGTAGGTCGTAGCTGTGTGTTGGTCTAAGGACATAGGCAGACAAGGTTCTTTGGGTAAATGTTATCTTTTATTAGACCAACTCAAATAGTTGGAAAAATTCTACTTTTCAAGCTTTTGGGTACAGATACCCTTCCTCTTTTCTGTTAAGGCCTTTTTCCTTTAAGGCCTTTTAAATATGAATGGGTTTATTACATATTAATGGCAACTGGTAAGAACAAACTTGTCTGACATTTCTGCAGAGAAATGACTTAAAAATAAATATGGCCTGATAAACTCATAGTTTATAAAAAAAAAAAAAAAATTGCTTCACATCCAAGTAAGACAGGTTTTTTGGATATGCTTGAATCAGTATGAGCTTTGCAAGGAAGGAGAGTTGGCTGTTGTTCTGCACTCTGTTAAATGTCTTGGTCCCCATGAAATGAATCGCCTGAGTCCTGTTCCTAGTGAACTACCTATCCAAGCAGGAAATGCTGCTGGAGCAGTTCATGAGGCAGTTTGCAATTGTAAAGATGGGTAGGGTGAACCAGAAGGATCCTCAAACGTTTCAAGATGATGAGCAGTCCTACTCCCTGTCCCTTACCATGTCTTTGTAAATTCTTCCCATTAGGGGGAAAGCAATGCATTATTCTTACTGTTGAGCAAAAAAAATGCATTACTTTGTTCCCCCCTGCCCCTTATTCAGACTTAAATTTTAAGTCAGCACACATTTTAAAATTAATGTGAGTATCCGCCACTGAAAATTTTCTAGATTTTGGTTCATGTCACAACTCTCTCACAGTTGTCATTTTACTGGAGTGTTTTTATCCCAAGCCCAAGAATAGCAGAGATTTTGGAGGTCAGGGTGGAGGTACATTGCCAGAGCTTCAGAGAAGGGTTCACACAGCATTTTCTCACAGTCTGGTTATAACAAGGGTTGCTTGTTCCACATTTTTCATAAACATTTACCAAAAAAAAAAAAACCAGAAGAAAAACCCCATGAACACAAACTAAATTCATCGTTAAAATTCAAAATACAAAAATTATTGAAAATGTACTTCTGAGTTTGTCAGTATTTTGCTTTACTGAAAGTGCTGAGTACCAGGGATCTTTGCACCGTTTCTATCCTGGTTACTTCTACCTTTGTAATTGCAAAGTTCAATGGTATTAGAAATCCTTTTTTTGCCATTAATGTTAGAAGGAAAATGGCTGTATAAATTTTTACAAAATAGGAGACCAAACATATATTTTTAAACTTTTTTTTGGATTGCTCTTCAAATCATTCCCATTCAAAGTTCCTATGACATAATGCAACAGAGTTTTAAAATAAATTAACTTCTGCAATCAAATTTTATCTGTTTTAGATTACAGCCAGAGATTTTAACCTTTTGAGCCTCTCAGATGAGTCCTGACCTTTTGCTGACGTTATTTTCTGTGAACTGAACTCTGCATCCCTGCTTTCATTTCTGTTGAAAAGCCTGGAAAACACTTGGTTGAAGAATCTTATTCATGACACTTTTTAATTATAAAGCTCTGTAATAAGCAATGTGCTAAGACTGCATTTTAAAGGGAAGGGGAAAATATTTGGTAGAATACACATTCACATAAGAAGGTTTAAAAAAATCTAAATGTTACATATGAGGGGGCACAGTTTAAATCCTGGTAAGTGGTATTGAGAAAGAGTATGGCTTTTGTTACTCCAAACTAAATATTATTTAAGTATCAGCATATTACATTTGGGGCTTAAGGGGGTTTCTAAGTGATAGAGTTTTGAATAAAAGGTAGTGATTCTGGATTTTACAGTTTCTTGTGTGCCCATCACTCTCTCATTGACTGAGTGGAGTGGGAACTTCGGGTGCCCACTCCAGGCTAAGCCCTAGGGGCCAGGTTAACTTGCAGGAAAACTGCAGTAAACTACAGGAGGTATCAGTTAAAACTGCTTGCATCAGCTATGACTTTGATTCTCCAAAAGGTAAATTGTTGCATTGAATGCTGTAAATGTTAGACTGATTTTTTTCAAAGCTCTGGGTAGATGTTAATAACCCCTTATTATCCCCAGTGTGAGCTAAGTATGTGTCGTTAACCCCATTTTTCATTTGAGGTAAACACCTATTGCAGCTGAGCCCATTGACTGCAGTGCTGCTTCATTTACTGAATATGGGTCTGAGTTTTTTTCCCCAGAGAGATTAAATTGCTTCAGGGTCAGCTAGGAAAAAAAAAAAGTTGTGGACTCCAGGATGAAAATTCAGGAAGCCTTGAGTCTCCACTTTTTTTGCTCAGTCAATTCATGCTGCAGTAGGGTGAGAGTGTAGTAGCTTGTCCAGGAAATGTAAGAGGCAAGGGGTTTTTTTGTGATGCCTTTTTGTGGAACAACTATATAGAGCAGCGGGCCAGCAACATGGAGCCTACATGGCCACTGGATCTGGCCCACAGAGCCTGAGGACTTTGCTATGCCCATGCCTGCACCTGGACCAGAGTTAACCAGTGGAAAGCTGCTGTGGGGTTGAGCAATTTCCAGCTGTGCCCTTGCCACTACTGTTGCTTCTCCCTAGCCCCTCCGTGGTTGGGGCACAGGAGCAGCTTCCAGCTGGCAAGGATTCGTGCCAAGGTAGACAGCTGGAAGCTGGGTCTAAACTGCTGCTACTTCTATCACCTCCTTTCCCACCTGCAGCAGAGCTTTTAGCTCCCTAACCCCTAACACAGCTCCCATCGGGGTGGAAGATGTGGCTGGGAGAACCAGCAGCAGTGCGGGTGCAGCTCACAGCTGCTTGGCCCCAACCATGGGTGTGGGCAAAGCCCCCCATTGCTGATGCACCACAGAAGCCATCGAGCCTGCTTTGAACTGATGGTGGGTTGTTCCCACCCATGGCTTGAAAAGGTTGCTGGCCACTGGTATAGTCAACAACAGTTAATCCAGTGAAAGAGATGATGAAATGACCCTTACTTCTTGCTGACTATGATACTATCTTGTTTACAACAAAATATATTCTGTGCTTTGCTCTGCTTTCTGGTATCTCAATATTTGCTGTATGTTATGAGAATAGAAGCTTTCTCCCAGTGAAGTCAACAGGATTTCTGCTACTTCAGACTGTATGTACATACCTCTCCCATAGGTTTTTCATAGATATCCTCTTGCCATTGTGCAGCTTTTGTCTGAATAGCATCTCGTTGGAGTGCTTCTAGCACCTTTTTGGGAGTTACAAAGCCATATTGTGCTTCCAGCAAAGCCAGGTCAATTTTTTCAGCCTTAAGAACTCCTATGACTTCATCTTGAGCCTGCAGAAAGATAAAGTACAAAGTACATATTGGCATGCTCAGTTTAGTTCAGTTTCTGCTCTCACATTAGATAGTAGTTTTTAAAAGTTCATTAAAGTACGTGTTCAGTACATCGTAAATATTCAGTAAAGTGCAAGCTGCTTAAAACTACCAGAGGAGTATTAGGCTTTGTATTTTCAAAATTGTACTCTTAATGTTTTTAAAGATTTATTAATACAATGTGAACTCAGATATCCTGATACTCAGTATTTTGTTAAAGATTAGGCAGATTTTAACCCTGCCTTCAGATCAACCCCTACTTTTCCTGATACCAGATTTTAGGATCAAATGACATCAGCTATTCTTTTTAGATTTTCATGTAGTCTTTGAGCATGCTTTAGGAAGCCCAGCAGTGTTATGTTCTATGTTCACACCAAGTACAAAAGCACCTTTTGTTGTTTAAACGAGCCAAGAGGTACTTAGTTACTATTGTTACATATGCATGTTTCTGTGCTGAAGCTTGTGAGGTACATGGTGCAGAGGATGTGACCTTTCACAACATGCATTCCAAGAGCATGCAATAATGGCAGCTCTTTAAAACAAGATTAATTGCCTTTAAAGCAGGTAGTAGTGACTGGTGTATGTATCTGCAAAAGAGCGAGTGAGGGACTATTTATTAGGTATTACATATAAAATACATAAGACAGGGTTTTCAGAAGTAAGTTATATTGGGTTCCTCAATTTTTGCACACCTATTTTAAGGTATTGTAAATGGTTAGAATTTATAGAAGGTGCCAAGCCTTGCTGTATGAACACCATGCCTCAGGCACCAAAAAATCAGAACACTTTTTGAAGATGTTGGCTTTTATGGGCCCTGTATATGTAATGTATGTGTTTTGCTTTATATGGAAAATATTTGCCAACATGTACTTACAAGGGAGCAGACTGCAAATATGTTTCCTTTGTCATGCTTTTTCATAAATTCTGTCACAAGCCAGCAGGTGCATGCATTTTATTATTTTATAGTTACTCTGTAACAGTCCTCACAGTGGGAACATATTGCATGTGTTTGTGGGGCTTTGAGAATGTTTGAAAGCAGCCATATACTATACATAAATAAAAATTTAAAAATGCAGTTCTTCAGTTTCGTGGTTGCAGGTGTTAGGAATTGGGGAAGGGAAGTGGCCATTCATAGATTGTAAGGCCAAGGACGGAAGGGACCTCGGAAGATCATTGGGTCTAACCCCCTGCACCAAGCAGGAAAGATAACTGGGGGCCAAGTGACCCCAGCAAGGTGATCATCCAGTCTCCCCTTGAAAATTTCCAGGGTAGGCGATTGCGCCACCTCTGGAGGGAGCTTATTCCACAGTCTGGACACCCAAATTGTGAAGAAGTTTTTCCTAATGTTAAGCCTGAATCGGACTTCCAGGAGTTTGTGGCCATTACTTCTGGTTTTCCCCTTGTGAACGGGTGCTTACTGAGCCCTTGATGTACTCCCCTGGTGTAGCAGTAAGCTGCTACCAGGTCCCCTCTCAGCTTTCTTTTCCTCAGGCTGAAGAGTCTAAGATCCCTCAGCCCTTCCTCATATGGCTTGCCTTTTAAGACTCTGATCATATGGGTGGCTCTTCTTTGGACTTTCTCAAGTTTGTCCATCTCCTTGTTGAAGTACAGTGCCCAGAACTGGACACAGTACTCCAGCTGCAGTCTCACCGGTGCTGAGTAGAGTGGAAGATTCACCTCCTTGGTTTTGCTGGAGGTGCATTGATTGATGCATGCAGGGGTATTATTTACCCTACTGGCTACCGCATCACACTGCCGACTCATATTCATACTGTGGTCTATTATTACTCCAAGGTCCCTCTCATTCGTGGTGCTAGTCAATTTGGTGCAGCCAAGCCTGTAGGTGTGTTGGGGGTTGCTCGTCCCGAGGTGGAGCACATTACATTTCTCAACGTTGAACTTCCATCAGATTCCAGTCTGCCCAACTTGCTAGCCTGTCTAGATCTGCCTGTATCTGTAGCCTATATTCAAGCGTGACCATGCTTCCCCATAACTTGGTGTCATTCATGAACTTGGCCAGTGAGCTGTTCACCCCCCGCTTCTAAATCATTGATGAAGATGTTGAAAAATACTGGACTGAGCACCGACCCCTGTGGGACACCACTGTCCACTTCTCACCAGGACGGCACAGGTCCATTCACTATGACTCCCTGGGTTCTATCCCACAGCCAGTTTCTCACCCACCTGTCTTGGAGTTAAGCTCACAATCTTCCAGTTTTCTCGTGGGGATATTGTGGGATACTAGATCAGAGGCCTTTTGCAAGTCAGGGTATACAATATCAATACTTTTAACTCTAGTATTGACTTTTCCTTCAACATGTTTTGAGTTAATGCAGAAAAGTCATTTAAAAACATTTTATACGAAACCTCTAAGAAAAAAAAACTGGCAATGACATAATCTTAAGCCGTACTTTTCTACTGGTTACACTCATGGTGCTTTATCACAAGCATGATGCTGGTGTTTTAGAGACTCGAATCCTAGCCATGCTGCTTCATGAGAATCTTTGGCTAAAAAATAAATAAAAAATAAAACAAAAACTTCTCTAGTTTTCTTGTTGATGAAGAAAAGCTGAAAAAATTATATAAATCAGGGTTGTCTAGCTGGGAGCCTATGAGGGGTTAACGGGCAGCACACAGGCTTCCTTCTAGCCACTGCTGCCTCCATTGCTTCAGTGGTTGTGTAGGGCGGTACAGCATGACAGGAGGCCTGCTGAGCTCACTGCCCACGTGTCAGTGCCAGCAGGGCTACTTGTGTGCTGAGGGGATTGCGCTTCTTGCAGGGTGGTGGTCCTGGGGAGCCCCTGTAGCATGCAGCCCATGTGTGGCCTAGGGCCTGCAGTCTGTGCTGCATGCTGCCCCTGTGCCTCTGAAGCTGGATGGCCCTGATTTAAATGAACCCTCAGGAAACAGAAAGTAAAGATGAAAAAGATGTATTGTTTTATTTTGGATATCAATTCATTTTGAAGCCAAATTCATGTTCTTTCTGTGGGCTGACGTATATATATATATATTTTTTTTTTTTTGAAATTTTGATTTTGATACTACTGTACAGTGGAATAATCAGGAATTCGAAAATGATTTTTCACCTAAGTATTTTCACTTGAACTCAAAGGCAAAATTAAAAATACCGTGGTCCTTATTTTTTGCTTCCTGTATTCAAACTTATACTCAAAAGTTTGAATATTTCTTTAAAATGAAAGGAGACGGAGTGAGAAATGTCATTGTATAAAACTGCCTGGAAAATCAGGGTTTGCAAGTGGTGTGCACAACTTTGGTTACTATATGCATTTATTATGTAATATTTACATAATATTGCATAATAATGGATGGAAGAAATTATATATATATACACACACACATATATATACATACCACTTCAGATGGCATGTGAGGTGGTCAAAGATACAGACATGGATTTATCACATAGTCCTGCAGTTTATGATCTGGTTATATAACCTGTACATTTTTATTCTTTATATTCTATTTATTATTCGTTATTTTACACACTCTCTCTCTCTCTCTCTCTCTCTCCAGATCATAAACTGCAGGACTATGTGATAAATTCATGTCTGTACCTTTGACCACTTCACATGCCATCTGCTCTCAAACATACCAAACTTCTAAGCAGTTTTAAACAGCTGTTAGTCCTTTAATTAAATCAGCCTGCCACAGAAATTTCTCCTTTCTTCTCTGCAAATATGAACATCCGTTTTTACTCCCATAGTGGACAACAGTCAGCACTAGGGCACTTGCAAGTTTAGGCAAGTTACAACTTTAAAATCCATTCTCTTGTAGCTGTCCTAGGACCAAGTGAGGTCCTGAGATAATATTGAGATGAAGAGTACATATTTTAGGACACTTTGGGCGCATGTAAGTGAAACACTTTACTGTGCAGTAGAGCAAATTACTGTATAGTAAGCATCACTGTCTACACATGCATACCCTTACTGTGCAGTAATTTATTCTACTTGGCAGTTAATTTGCTACTTGCAAATGCAAGTAGCAAATTAACTGTCAAGTAATTACTGCATAGTAAGGCATGTGTAGATGGCGGACTGGAAGCAAATTTGCTCCTGATCAATCTGGCAGCAGGGGATGAGAGATTGTTTCCTGCCCCTGGGAGCTGCCTGCTGCCGGGGCAGGTTCTACCACTGGAGCTGGGGCAGGGGCAGTGTCCCCTTGCCCAAAGCATCCCTGTGATCATGGAGCAGGGGCAGGGAGCTCCCTGCATGGGGAGAGTTCCCTGGCCAGGCTGGAGCTGGCTGAGACCTGCCCCGGATGGGGACAGTTCCTGGCCAGCCTCAGGCTGTACAGAAAGACTGCACATGCAGCCTGGAGCTCACTGGGGACTGTCCTGTTTTGGGCAGTCCTGAGCTAGCTCTGGGCTGCATGTTCAGACTTTCCCATGCAGCCCAGGGGTGAATGGGAATTGTGCCAGTCGGGGGCAGGTCCCAACCCTATAGGTTTTTCCCAGCTCTATGCCCAGATTGGGCAATTGAGGCACAGGGCTTGGAAAGAGCTATGGGGGAGGGACAGGTCCCAGCCCCATGCCCTGTTCTGTAGGTGGGGCAGCTAGCAGTGAGTCCCCAGCTGGGAAGGGAATCTGCAGCTCTTTCCAAGCCCCCTGCCCCTGATTGAGGAGCCAGGGCCAGGACCTCCCTGTTGCCAGGGCAGGGAGACATTATCTCTGCCTGGGCTCTGCTACTAGGGTCCACCCCAGCAGCAGGCAGCTCCCAGGGGCAGGGAGCAATTTGCCAGTCCCTGCCAGGAGATGGCTGTTTCCTGGCCCTGTGCTCCTTACCAGCCCCTGGGCTAGCACCTTGGGGGAGCCTAGAGCTCCCCCTGGCTGCTGCAGGGGGCCAGTGTAGGGCCAAAGTGGGCAGGAGCAACTGCTGCCAGAAGCAGCAAATCTGTTCCCAAATGGGTGCATGTGTAGATGCTTGCCTAGGGTAGGTTTACTCCAAAGTAAATTACTCTGGAGTAAAACCATCCAGTAACATACTCACATGTAGATGTGCCCTTTAAAGGGTTATTTTACTTCTCCTTAGCCCTGTAGAGTTGTACTCAGAGTAAACAGTGCACATATCTTTATGAGAAAAGGGATCCTGGTAATAGCTCCAATAAAAGTTTTTAGTTTCCAAAGGCATTCATATAATAACTTGTTCTATAACAAATGTCATAGACTACATGGTGAGAGGGGATTGCGTGGTATAAACTTTTTATTGGTTCTCCACTTTCAGAGAACTATTAAAAGTTGCATTACAAAGATTTTCCCATTGTGTCAACTGATGTATTTTAAGTTTAATATGTTTTGGGATAAGCTGTGAAGATCTCTGACTTCTTCAGGGGTGATAGATTTTTTTTCTGGTATTTGGATGTATTTTTACAATTTTGCATTTGTGCTTGTGCAATACTTTAAAAGGACACAGTGTCTAAAAACAAAGAAAACAGAAATAAAAGAAGCACCATCCATTTTCAACAGATTATATACAGAGGATAGACTATGTATAAGAGGTGAATTTATGGAATATAAAACAAGAAAATAATTTACCTGCAATTCACCCTCAAGGACACTGAGAAGAAATAGGAGATCATCTCGAGAAAGGTCCTCTCCTTGCTTGGAATATCTTCTTTGTTTATTTTCGGAGGTGGGGCTTCTTAGTATAGTGCTACTTTGTGCTGTATAGTCATTCTCCTTTCCCTTTTTTGTATTTACTATCCCTGTGAAAACAGTATCTTCCTTATGGTGATCCCTTTGCCTTTGCTGGCACTGTTTTGATTTGTCTGGAATTTCTGTGCTGTTACTTCTGGAGCGCATTTTTATATCTCTGAAACTATAAAGAAGAGAGAGAAATTAAATATCTCAATAATTAGTTTGTAGAAAATGTCTGGTATTTATGCAAAGTGTAATTCATCCAAGAATAGAAGTTCTGCATAGGTCTCCAGGTGCCCCTTGAGTGGGCTTAAAATCCTGCACTAAGAGTATAAATGGTCCATAGGACCTTGTGTGAAACCACTGCACTGAGATTAATATTGCCCTGACAACGAAAATACCAGTCTTGAGTTATGTATTGAGTCTTATAAGGACCCTCTGCTCTGGGGTGAGTTTCACTGTGATGAACAGAAAGCTTCACTCCTTACTCATGCTCCAGGGTTGTACCTTTTGCATTGCATAACACCCCAATTTTAGTGTTAAATATAGAGAGGTGGTTGGTTGTGTTAGTCTGGAGCCAGGCAGAAGGTAGGGTAGTGTGGCATTGTAAAGACGTGGTCACACATAAGGCACAGACAGAAGTTATATTTGTTGTGCTTTGCAACTGTGCTGTGATAGAAGGGCATAGCTGCAGAGCACTTTAAAAGTGCCCAATTAAGGGACAGATTAACCCTATTTTAATGAGGGTTCAGATGAAGACACTCCAAAGTGGAGCACCTTCATTAACTTCTGTTTGTCCCTGCCTGGGAGCAGAACTGGGCTGGTGCAGCCCAGCCCTGCCCCCATTGCTGTTTTCTGGATGGAAGTGGGGGAAGGAAGGAGAGGGAGCTCCATCCAGGGGTTTGCCCAGCCTATGCTGGAGGGTGGGGTGGGTAGATTCCCTGAGTTGAGGTGCTCCAATCCACACTCCCCACCCTCCAGTGCAGGCTGGACAAACTTCAGGTGGAGCTCCCTCCCCTCCTTCCCTGCCCCCCATCCTAAAGACAGCACTGGAGCTGGGAGGGAGGGAGTGGGGCTCGGGGAGACAGGCAGATATCAGCCTCTCTCCTCTGGATTGGCTCCAAAGTGGAGCTTGATTTCCTGTCTTGCCCCCCCCCTTCCCCCTCCCTCCCATTTCCCAGACCAAACAGCGAATATCTGTTGGGTCGGTGGGTCATTGTAACTTATGACTCCTTTTGTGAAGCACCATGAGTTAGAGGGGAGCTGCACATCTGTCAGTGGCCACTGTGCTTAGAATGGTTGAAATGCAGTTTAAACCTGAAGCTGGCAGGCATAGAAACCTGTTAAATTCGTTTAAAGCCTCCTGGAATGGTTCAAAATATACCTCAAAAATCAAGTACCAGCTCACAGTGCTCTGGTTCAGTGTTAAGTGTGGACGCCGAGCATTTGATGGTCAGTCCTTCAGGTATCCCACACTTCGTTTCTTGCCCCCTCTTCCCCTGACTCTGGTATCCATGTGGCCACTCTGGTATGTAGCCACAACTCTTCTGTTCCCCCTCTTTTCAACTTTTGTTGGTACTTTTTATCAATGAGCTCCCTTGCACTGCTTGTTCAATAAAAGCTATCTTTCTGACCACCAGATCTGTCCTCACTTCCTGCTTGACCACTTAGAATGAGAAGCAGTGACAGAGCGGGGTGGTGGGTGGTGGCCGCCACCACCATGTACAAACTCCCGTTAATGGAATTTCTGGTTAGTTAAATGTTGGAGAGCAAAGATTTTACTGTATTTTTGTGCATGCCATAAAAATATCAAATCAGATTTTTTTTTCTGTGCATTTTTATTTTAGTATTTTAGTGCCCTTTCCATCATTATTTAATTCTCATGTGGGATTTTTGTAAGAGCAATAGCATTTCAAGGACTTTTATCCAGAGCTGTCAAATTTATCTCCAGGGAAAAAGCTGGTTTTTTCCTAAAATGGAACTTGAAAATGTGGCATCAGTTTATAATTTGAACAGTATATTACTCACTTGTTGTAAAGTCCTTCAAGAGCTGAAAGGGAAAAGTGCAATATAAGAATCAAGTATTGTTAAAATAAGACCTTACAGTATTTTCTCACCCTGCTGCAGGCCCCATGTAGTCTCCCACCTCTGCTTCCCTCCTCTTCAGTTATTCTTCATGAGAGTCACTTAAGATGAGAAGGGCACAACAAGGAAGGATGGTGCTAAAATGTGCAAGCAGTATCTAATGACTTTAGACTTCACCTTAGAATGTCTCTTCTGTGACTGAAAAGGGATGAATCAGGGAGTTTTGGCTTGTTTGTTCTCTTCCTGCACGTTTTGGGTATAACATATGTGGAAGAAGGGCCTGGGATTTAACCCAAATGCTATAACGTGTGGGAGAAAGCAGTTTTATTTGTGCAGGAAAAGGTGAAGAATTCTGTGCATAATATGCTGTTTTTCTTTTGTAGGTGTGTTGAGTGACTGTGGTCCAATTGCACATTGTAGCTGTGTGAGTTGCTAAAAAGAACAATTGTAACACAGAAAGTATGCTGCTGGTTACATGAGCAATTTCCCTTTGCTCTCAAATTTGGTGGTCATCCTGTCAGTTAACTTTGTATTTTGGAAAAGTCACTTCTTTGGCTTGTAGTACAAGAAGGATCATTCAAAAGAAACATGTTACTGCAGACAGTTTTCATGTTTAAGAAGCCAGCAAAAAATTGCTGCAGAATTGGGAAAAAGTAGACCTCAACCTTCCACCTTGAAATTCTTCCCTTTCTCTTTCAGATGGTTAGAAAACCTTTTCTCCTTACAGTTCAACATGGTCTAATGACTGAGCCTTGCAGTGCTCTTGACAGTTTAGACAGAACATTGGATGTTGCCTAATGCATTGTCACCACTGCAGAGAGATAATCCACTGTACTGCGTATCATGTTGGTTTTCTGTAAGATGACTCAACTTGTGAATGATCCCACTGTACCTTGTAAGTTGGAAGAATGTCATTTTAAACTTTCCACTTGTGCTTTTTACCATTTTTACATTTACCAACTTTTTCCATCTGCATGAAAATTAATTAACAGAAACTATTTTTTAGAGGTCAAGATTTTAATAGTCCTATGAAGTTTCTGAATATCAATTGTTTCCCAGCACCCTGAAGGGTCTGTCATCTCTCCAAAGCCAGGGCTTTGTGTGTTAGCTTAACGAGTGGAAACATTTTCCCTTTGCATGTCTGTCTCAGTCAGTCTGCATTACAATGATTGTGTTAAGGCAACCCAGTTACGGCAGAAATGACTTGCAACGTGGTTAAAAATATATTCTTCCCATATGTAGTGTAGGTGGCAGTTCATGGTGTAGAGGCAAGTTGGCCTCATCTCAGATCTCTTCTAGAGGTTGTCTTGGAGCTAATTCAGGCTGTAATATATATATTTTATATGTATTATATAAAAGTCAAAATGTATGCGTGCCCATAAGGTGACACGTACATATTGACTTTTTTAAACCTTTATTACACATTTGTTGTAAAAAACCCCCAAAAGGTAAAAGTGCAAAAGTGTGCAGTCCTTCCAGCAACAAAAAAGCATGTCATGAGAGACTGAATCTCCTTCCCCCTCAATACCTTTCATGGGGTTACATGTTTAGGACTAGCTGTACATCTTCCATCTTTCAGTGCGTATTCCCTTGATGGACCAGCATGACACAAACTGGTTCACATTTTGTTGCAAGGTGAAGGGTCCAAACTCAAATGTGATGCGTGCCTAGACCAAGAAATGGAAGAGTTGAAGGATATCATTGAAGTAGGCCCCCACGAGTTGGCTTCTGCAGCTTTTCAGGGTTACCATCTTGGCCTAGCCCAGCAGGAAATTGGCCAGGCAGAGCATGCTCTCCTTGGCTGTTCAGTATAGGATAGTGAAAATGTACATGGTCTCAGAGAAACGTAAGTTTAGTGTGCCAAAGAGGGTTCTGTGGTCAGCAAAGAGTGGCTGCAGCCAGGGGCAATCTAGGGAGGTATGGAAGAGTCCAGGAAGGTGTCTCTTCTGCCGCCTCCTCACAGAAAGAGCAGGCCACCAAAACTGTTGGGTCTAGGTGGTGGACAGAGAGGTGCCTATGGCTGAGGCCCTGTGCAGCAGTTGCCACTGGAGGTCACCTGTTTTCTTGGCAGTGGGCAGCTTGTACAGGGTGGCGTTGCTCTTGTGTTGCTGCCTCTAGGCTCTGTGTGTAGGTTATGTCAAGGTGGACAGTGAAGACGTGGATCACAAAGCAGATCCCACCAATGTTCTTACTGGGCACAAGGAGGGACAGCAGGATACCGGGCCTGCCACTTTCCCAATTCTCCATGGTTGGAAAAATAGGCAGCGATGGAAGGGAGCAGGGTTTGTCTAGCAAACTGCCATTAGGGAGGGCTCACTGTGTGCAAAGGTGGTTATCCAAGGCAGCAAGTGCTTCTGTGGGGACAGCAGCTTTCACTTTAGCCAAGAGGCACAAAGCAAAGTGGACAAAGTACAGGCCCAGCTGGTTGGCTGGTGCTTTTGCTGAGTGCCAGGGGAACTGGGCTAAGTTGAGGAAGTGGATCAGCTTAATGGTGTGTGACCGTACCAGGGAAACAATGAGGTTTCCAGAAGCTCAGCTTGGTGTGCATGCTGTTAGGATAGATTATGGACCAGGGGCTCCTGCAGCAGCTCTAGAAGTTGCAGGTGCCTGTCTTGGGGTCTCAGTCAGAAGGAGGTCCAGCAGGCCTGGCAAGGCTGTGGTAGAAGGGTGGAAGGGCATCCCAGTTCAGAAGATCAGGTGTTCAAGAGGATATTCCTCTGTACCATTAGCTGGAATGGTACCATAGCAGCCCAGAGTGAAAGCTGGTAGCAGGTGTAGAGGAGAGGAGGAGGGCTGATGCAAGGCATGCCCCTTGCATCAGAGCTCCTGCTGTCTGGGTAGGCATTCACTGCCTTTGCATTATGTAGGATCTACATCCCTGGTAGTGGTTTTCAGAGGCATCTTGTCTTCTGTGGTAGGGTGATTATGCTTCTGCTTACCTGATGCAGTGCAGCTTTGTAGACCTATGCTGGTCACACTGACAGAGAAGTGAGAGTATTTTTTACTGCTACCTTCACTTACTCTCACTCCTGCTCTTGCTCTCTCCTGTTGGGAAGTAATTTCTTCAAATAAGCCAAGGATTTAATGTCCCCATCTCTTTGTGCTTTTAAAAGAAGTTGCTCTTTTATCTCCAAACATGTAAGCTGCCTTTTACATTTAAAGAAGAAATCCAGTGCTCATTGATGGACAAGTAATCTGTGGGATAAAAATACGCTCTCCTTAAGAGCCACGTGACAAAACGACTGAATGTTTCTATCATGTTAACTCGATCTCCACCCTCTCAAGTTGTATTGAAAGGGAGGCAAAACTGCATTTGTCTCTTTGGCAGCAGCAAACAAGCAGGTGGCTCAGAAATCCATGCTCTTTTTTTTTAATGGGAAAGACTGAAATATCCTGCAGAGATGACTTCACCATAGACACCAAAGGGCTTTGAGACAGCCATCCATTCCCCCTCTCCCACCCTATTTTTCCCGTAAGCATTTTCTCTTTAGTACAGATTGACTTATGAACTAACAAATTCTCTCACAGGAGCAAATCTTCCATTATTCCCATGGTAAGGATCCTGGATTATTGAGAGCTTGTCATTCTTTCCAGGAGCCTGTGACTAAAAAAGGAATTATGTGGGGTTTTTTTTAAATTTCTCTTAAAGGGATATAGTCAAATTACTTCAACTGAAAGGCAAGCCTCCCCCTCCCCCCCGGCCCCTCCTATCCCTTTCTTTCCCCCTGAGCAAACCTGCTTGTTTAAAGAGCTGCAGCACTGGGCCAAGGCTTTCTCTCCATGCTAATACTCTGAGAGCCTGAATGACCAGAGTCTGACCTTTGGCATGAGGCAACTATCAGGAAGCCCTTATGAAAGAGGAAAGCACCAGCTAGAATTGTCTTAAGAGATGGTAAGAGTTTCTTATTAGTGAGAACTGCTACATTTGACAGTCTCAGTAATGCCCCCTGAGGATTTTCCTGGCATCAAAGCTTTCTGGCTTGATATATTTCTATGCTTAATGACTTTTCTCCTTTCCTGCCTGAAGATTGTGCTTTCTGGTAGATCAGCACCACTTCTACAAAGAAGCATTTTCTCTTTGGATTGGCTACTGTCCAGAGAACCTGCATGACAACATTGCCATGGCCTGTCTCCAGAAGGATGTTTTGGTTTTACCTTAAAAGATTATCTCATCAGGGCCGTCATCACACTGGTTTTATGGACTGTTTTGGGGTATAGGCCTAGGAATAAATGGAAAGAGAGGGAACAAGCAAGCTTTTTTTTCTTGAAACAGGCAACACATGGGGGCTGTCACGGATTTGGCAAGTGTTTCCATTCCTGTGCAGAATCTGCAAGGTAGGGAATTAATTATCCAAGAGAATGAGGTGCAGGGGAGCTTTTCAGCTTGCTCCCTACAATTGAGCCTCTTGGCATGATGCATGCAGATACCAGGGAATCAATTCAAAGGGAGAGAGAGTAAGCAAACAGCTTGAGGTTTTTCTTGCTAATCTAGTTGTGTGACGGCTAGTACTTGTGTGAACTGGTACTTAATCTTAGTATCTCTTCCAAAATCCTGCATCTCCAGGTCTTACCAACAGTTCACAGTTCAAGAGAGCTGCCTTTAAAAGAACAAATAGAATATTGCACATACTGTACACATGCAGTAACTACATATTTACTGAACTGGAGCCTTTAGCGTACAAATCAGGAGTCTCCAAATTTTTCATCTTAATAGGCAAAACAGTTTGAGAATGCCATCATCTCTAGCAGTGGTCCCAACAGTCTCCTTTTCCCTTACATGGATCACTTCCTTTCTCATTCATGAGTACGTGGACAAGCTCTTTTTGTTCACAAGGGCATAAAAGCCGCTTGCAGATGTTAAACACCCCCTCCCCCCCAAAAGTGCTTTACTGGAAGAAGCAGCATGTTACTTTAACATGGCTCCACAGCGTCTTTACCTATCAGGCACTTCAGTGGGACTTTTTGTCACTTTTATCTAACAGCTGATTCAATCTATTGATTCAAGCTATTAAATAAAAGTGCCAAAAAAGCCCTACCTAAAGCACCCAATCTATGCAGATGTTGGGTGAGCCAGGCCTAAACTAACACAGTGCCTCTGCGGGGCATGTGCAGGGCTTGGCACAGAGTTTAAAGTAAAGCACTGTTTTTTTGGGCTTTTTTTTAATGTCTACAAGCAGCCATTATTATATTCCTGTTGCATGGTAATTCTCAACCAGGGCATCACAAGATCCTTTCACAGGAGCTGTGAGGTGCCACAGTGTTAGCACTGTTAGGTTTGCAAGTAGGATTCACAGGATAAACCCAGAGATTTCAAACAAAAATCCAGAGTTTTTTTGCAACAGAAACACCACTCTATTATTTTTCTATAGTCAAAAAAAGAGTGAAAACTAAGAGGTGGCATTTTCTGAGGAGTGCCTTGCGTTTATCTTGGGATGACTCAGCAATAAAAAGGTACAGAACTACTGCTGTAGCAGCTATCATTACATGGTAATAGTAAGATACACAGTCCTACCACTTCTAACTGTTCATTGGGCTAATGGCTATAGGATGTGGATGATATCACTGGCATTAGCGTCAAAAACTATGCAAATACTAGACAGCACAAAATAGCCAGCACATTTAACATGACATAAATAATTATTTTTATCACTGAGATTTACAGGGATAGCACATGGTTAACACTTCTAATATGCATGGCTGGCTGCATTAGCCCTGGGCATTTTCCATGGTGGGGACTGTAATTGTAACATTTTTAGTTTCCAAATGCAATGTAGCATCTGGAAAGGGAGAGAGCCAGTGGCATGTGTCTAGACAGCCCTCCTACTGCCAGCAGCGGTATTGGGTGATTCGCCGTTGTTCAAGAATCACCGATATAAGAATGATCTCATGTTGATACTGTGGTAACTTGAGAACTGCTGTCCACAGCACCAGCACTCTGAGTGCACACTTCACATACCCAAAATGTGTTTTAACATGTAAACTTTAAGCACTCATTTTTAATTGATGTATAGTGTGTTGAAAGAGGTGCACTTCCAGTCAAACACTACCAGCCCTTCTGTACATTGTTATTAGATCAAAGTTAACTGGCAGAATTGTAAACCTTTTCCCAATTGACAACACCCTTACAAAGCCTAATCTCCATTTCTTCTTGAAGTCAGTGTTCAAATTCAGATTAATCTGAAATGCTGTAATGTACACTTACTTCTGGCCTCTGCTTATGCAGACCTTCTCCTATACATAGAGACTTTATCTTGTGCCTTTCTGTTGATTGCTCTTCTTTCTAAACCCACCGGCTTTCCTGTTCCTCAGCGTGTTGTACTAGCTGAAATTCCTGTAGGTATTAAGTAGGTCACACTTAGGCAGTATGAAGTATTTGCAGTGTGTGTGTGTGTGTATATGTGATACGTGTGTGTATGCATGTGAAGACACACATATGCATGCTTCACACAAAGTTGGACATAGGAGGCTGGAAGGGAGTAGACCTTTATCTAGATTTATCTGTGTATTTGGCTCACTTGGGATTTTGCTGTTGACTTCAGAGGGAGCATGGCTTGGAGTTATAGTGGTTCTGAAACTAAATGTGCATTATTGTTTGGCTGTAGCAGAGATGGCTATGCCAGACAGATTCTGTTTCTCAGGAACTTGTAGATTTGGGGAGAAGGAACATTAATCTATGTTGTACTCCTATAGGCTAGTTGAAGGGAGGTTGTTTGATTCAATTCAGTTGCTCTCGAGGTATCATAGTGTAAAAAGAGTATTATTATTCACATGCTTAGTTTAAATTTAAATACTTTATATGGGTTCTTTCTGATATTTTGAACTCAGCATGGAACTTGTTCTTCTATGAGGAGAAATGTTTTTAACGTGTTAGAGAAAACTGTTAGAAAGCAATCTTCTAAACTTTTGGAACTATGGGTACTTTATTCTCTATTCCCCTTTGAACACAGATGTGATCCTAGCCTGTGGATATGTGGTATCTGTGGTAAAGCACATTGAAATAATGCAGCTGCTCTTATTTCAGGTATTCTGCAATGTTACTTTAATAGAACCGTAGAATTTTCTCCCTTTTTATTAGCGTAAGATTCAGTTATCATTATTTTAAGATGTTGCTGGTTGCCTAATATTTATTATTTAGCTGCTGTAATTCAGCTTTAAGAATAGAATTACTCTATAATTACAGCAATGTCCAAAGCAAAAGCTGAAAATAGTGCTACATGAAAAGAAAATATTCCTACCTAAGTAATTACATATCTAAATGCAGCCTTTTTTTATACCCTGAAATTAACTGGACTGTAGACAGTTATGTAGCAAGAAGATTCAACTCTTATATTTCTAGTATACTTGAAGATAAATATGACCTATATTTAAAATTAACAGAGGTTACAGAGAAGCTAGAATGGAAACAATGAGGTGAAGAGGGCATTCAGAACAACATGTCCAGTTAGTGTTGGTTGGAGCCTGGGGGACAGGAGGGAAGGGGCTTGCAGTGCTGTGTAGTAACTGCGTCCATCCTGTGGTAGGGGGAAGTTGAAGTGGAGTAAATTAACTGTTTCATTCAAGCGTAATTTGCTCTGGTTTGGCTTTCACTGCAGAACAGTGCCACGCAAACCATTTGCTGCAAAGTGACGGCCATGCAGTAAATCTCCCTGCCTTTTAACTTGGTTTAATTTGTTTTTCTGCCTGTGCCCCCAGCAAATCTGACAGATTGCAAATTCAGAACTGATCATAGGAAAGTAGTGTTGGAAGGGACATTAGAAGGGCATCTAGTTCAGCGTTTCCCAGCCTTTTCCACCCCACAGCACACTGGTCAAACACGGAGCGGGAGGGAGGAGGGTGGCAAACTCTGAATGCCAAGCGGGGGAAGGGGTGGTGGTGAGCGGCCAGACACCAAGCGAGAGGAGGGGGGTATCGGCACAGGGCCATCTGGGGCGCAGTGACGGTGCAGGGTGGTGGTAGCATCACTGCCTGTAGCCACGCCCCCCTCAGATTCCGCGGCACACTGGTTGGGAAACGCTGATATACTTCAGCCCCCTGTTCGAGG